GAAAAAAAAATTACCTGAGCCTGTGAAATCTCAACAGGATCGTTGAAAACAGTCCAGGTAACAGCTTCATTGCAGGTTGGCGTTGTTAGCGAACCATTGTACCGATAGTACTTGGTCTTGTCGGTTGGAAGGAGATTTACAAGAGGGAATGCTGGAAAGCTCACACTATCACCTGTGAAGTGGAAGATAACAGTAAAAATCACTTAAATGTTTATATTTATATTTTTTAAATAATGCGCTAGAGATTATTTTACATCATGGATGTTTTTGTGGTAAAAAACAGCAATTCCAACCGTAAAGGATAAAGAAAGGTTCGGGACAAAGGGCAAGCCCTAGAAGCACCTTCAAGGGGCCACATAAAAGTTTTAGAACTTCCCTTCCATACGAAAAGAAAAACGATCACACATGCCTTAAATACATGTGAAAAAAGAAAGAATTATATATAATAGAAGAACCTATAACACATCTGCAGGCTTTTCGAACCACTGCGTGCGTTTTCTCAAATATTAAATTTACTGCACAGTTTTTAAAACACGCAACGGTTCTCTGATCCTCCTGACCTAAGAATGCTGGCAAAACCACTTACCCTCGTACATCACAGAGTTGATTTGATCCAAGAACATTTGATAGTACTGATTTTCGCTTGAGCCAACCTAACATCAGTTTAGAAAGCAATAATAATAGTAATAATAATTAAAAAGAAAAATTAGTGCCTTAGTTCACTTAGGATTTTACCCCTTTTGACATTCCTCTATACTTCTTCTTTTGAACTACAAATGAATTTTTTATTGTTGTCTTTACTAGAGAAAAAAACAAACAAATATAAACAAATAACAAAGTAAAATAACCAAAACAAAAATTAAATGCCATTAGAAAACTCTAGCGATTTCTCTGTGATATTGAAATTCTCTTTGACCTTGAAAGTGTCAACACTGAGCGAAACCATCTTTCAAGGTGATTGGAGAACCGCTCCATCCATTCAAGGCCGTAAGGTGGGCACTTATTACACGTCTTTAAAAACGAGTCTGGGAGTGAATGGGTTTTATGAAGAGGCACACATCTTTACCTTAAGAAAAACACCCAGCACGGCCAAACCATCTGAATGACCTAGCGCCTCACTGAGGTTGGAGTATTTGGTGTTCATGCTGACAAAATGGAGCTGCAAATTGAAAATAATACTCAAGTCATTACAAGTACAGTTATAGTAGTGACGGGATAAGGGCACCTTAATACTAACAATTTTTTAGCCCTGTAACACTTGATTCTCTTCGCGGGACATTTTGTTAAGGGACCTTGAATGGACTTTCGCCCCATTGATTTTGGTGACGAAATAGCTGGTTACACACTAAAGTTTTGTAACACACTAAACGTAAAGTATGCGTTCACAGTAAAGTGTAAAAAATGGGCAGTTGACACCACACAGCAGCCATTGCCTCATCGAGAAACACACCTCGGCAGAAAACATTTTCCCGTCCAGTGTATGTTCCGATCCTTGGTTGTTGTTTGATCCCCAGTGCAGGTGAAACTGAACGGTGGTGTAAATCCCGGGAAGGCCACCTCCGCTAACGTGGTACATTTTGCTGTCAAATGACACTTTCAAAGAATGACCGTTGTTTGAGGCTGTAAAATTGACACCAGCTGGCGTATTCGCGTAGTTGGCAAGTGTAAAATCACCCAGGCTTGAGTCATACATGGCTGCGGTGGTGCTTATGTCTATAGGTGACTGTTTACTACCGGAACTGCAAATGCCACTCCAACTTTTGGGTCCTAGAGAAGAGTTAGAGGGACAATATAATATATAACTGATCATACAGTTTATTGTCAGGAAGCGTGCGCTCCCGTGCAAGAGGGTGCGAAAGTTGGAGTGCGATTGTCTTTTTTTCGTGTTAGAATGCAAAATGAAGCTCTTGATCCTAATCGAAAAATCCGCCGGATAATGAAGTCTTTGATTTAACCCAGCCATCAATATTGGTAAGAAAATTTTCTTACTCAGAGCCAAAGCGATTTTTACCGAAATATTTCGACGTTATCATGGTTATCACAACGTCAGTCTCCATCAGTCGAATGTTCGATTCAAGTATCGCTCACGTGATGATCCTGATCCGCAGGTCCTCGCCCTATTCCTGTTCAGTGTTACGGCAGGAAATCGAGTAATTTTAATTTTCAGTTGGCAAAAACCTTGTACCAGAATAATTTAAACAATATCGCCTTCTTTTTGCATTTTTCAAGGGCTATAGATGTAATTAGTTATCTGTAATAACACCAAATAAAAATTCTTATGGGAGCCCAAGAAAATAAATGTCAAATTTTACAGAACGACATCTTACACATGAAATTTTCAGAATTTTACCTATGTTTTCACAATTCTTCGACAATTTTTTTCTTGGGCTCCCATGAGAAATTGTCCCTGGTGTTATTACAGATAACTGGTTATATCTATAGCCCTTGAAACTTGAAAACAAGAATGCGATATCGCTTAAAATATTCTGGTACAAGGTTTGTGTCCACTGAAAATCAAAATTACTCAATTTCCTAATGAATCCCGTTTTAATTCTTTGTTCTTTTTCCGAATTTCTCGGAATTCTCGCGCTGCAATACAGGCTACGATTAAAAACGAGAAAACATACCATCAGCAGCAGTTAGATCATAGCTCCAAATTTCTAGAAAAACGATAAAAATTACAGTTAGGTTTGACTAAAGAAAATTAAATGTAAATCGGACTTTTAAAATAGCATGAACTGATAACACAACAAGAAATAAACGAACTTTGGTTAACTACAATTAAAATCTGAACGTATGTTCTTTGTTTTAACACACTGCCCATAATTTTTGCATTTGCATATTAAATGTGTTTAATTCATTTAGAGCAAAAAGAAGAGTTGGGGGGTTAGTACTTAGTGTCTATGATTAAAATTTAGTACTGACAATTAATCAGTGTTCGCGGTTAACTTTCTGTTCAAGCTCTTACATCAAAAAAGCGTTAAATTTATTCTTTATGGTTTGTTCCAGTAGCAGAACAAAAGATTTATCAGAAAAATACTTTGGCAAGATAGCCTTTGCTTGAACAATCAATCCAACCGATATTCAGCAATATTCGAGGTGCATGACTCACGACTCGCTAAAGAGCACGATCCTTCTCGGTCAAGCAAACCCAATTCTTGTCCAAAAAAAGACTGAGATTTGTCTGTACTCACACACACAAAAACTTGTCTAGGAAAAAGCTACTCTATTTAAGAATCAATCTGATTATTCAAAATATAACATATTATGCACCTAAGCACATAATTGAGGGAAATTCATCATTTTTTTGGAGTCCTGGAAACCGGACTGGAATTTCTATGTGATCATTCCAGAGTGAGGTGAAGCTAAGGTTTAGCCATTTGAAGGGCGTCGTAGAAGTACATGTACGACACTGAGAGTATTGATATGATCCAGCCTTAGAAATTGAACAAGATGACTCCCGTTCAGCAGATCAGAGGCCCGTTTCTCGAAAGTCCAGGTAACTTTTCGGGCCCGAAATCAAATATTCAAATCGAAATATAAATAATAGGACAGCCAGTCCCGGCTTGCAGACTACTCCATTTTGTTTCACTAACTGATAGTTTTATCATGTTAGATGCAAACCTCAGTATTGAAACCTCAATCTTTAATGTAAACGGAGACAGCTTACCGGGCCCGTTAATTATCGGGACTTTCGAGAAACGGGCCCCAGAGCTCTACTGACTAGGCTACAATCCTGTCACCCTGGGTCTTAAAATGTTGCTTGTTTTGGGGTTTACTTCTTGCACTAACTTACCTGCCGCCAAGGAAGTAGAAACTCTAGCAATTAAGCATACAAACGTGAACAAAATTCTTGCCATGACTGTCGGCAGTGATTTTTCTGAAAGAAGAAAAAACAAAATTGACAATGCTTTTTATTTCTCGAAGTAATTAATCATTCATGAGGACAACAGCCAATAAATGAGGCATATTTGGGTCACATGCATGAACCTTGATACCTTGATGAAAATCTTACGGGTTTTGATCTGAGATCAACCCTGATGAAACCCTTGCACTCGTTATTGATATATTACTTCAAACAGTCCCATGTAAAACTGCTATAGTCCACTCCCACTGTTATATTACGTACTCTTCCGTCTTTACACAAATTTTCCCTTTTGTCACCAGTTACCTAAGTGGGTACCGCGTGCTCTCATGCCAGTTTTCAGAGTTCATGGTATTATTTGCGCATGCTCAGTTGTCTTTGTGGATGATGAACATTCGGAACCCTTTGAGTTACTAATTAAAAGTGTTTGGATCATAAGCAAGAAGCTTTGTTACAGTCAAGAGAAGGGAAGTGATTTACATAAAAAAAAACTGATATTTGTTTTTAATTTGATGACCCCCTCTGTACCTATTATTTTAAGAACAGCACGTGTAAATTGTTGATCAAGTGTTCTTTAGTTTTAGCTGCAAATTCAAACAGGCTTAAAAATTGTCTATTAAAAGATTAAAGTTAGTTACGTGCATACTGTCTCATTTGCAACTGTATCAATAAAAGAAATTTGATAATTTTTTTATTTAATTGAATTTTTCCGAAAGCTTGTTTCTCATCTTCCGAAATGAGTCTAAAAACAGCATGTCTTTTATATGAAAATGTCTTTATTAAAACCAATATATATGGAAATTTCACTTGCTGGGACGCACAAAAATTTTAATTGCCACGTTCAAGGCAGTCCATGATGAGTATAAGATGGGAGATTCGAACAACCTGCACTGAAGCATTACCAGCCTGATTACGTATATGCACGCAGAAACAAGCTAGGACTTGAACTTCTCGACAGATAAAACAACAAAGGAGTTCGAAAGCTGAAAAATAATTTTTCTGGAGCTGTTTTTTTCTAACCGATTGAATCTTTTAAATTCGAGCTGTAGAATCCTGTACTTTTGTAATTTGACTGAACCTTAGGTTCTATGGTTATTCACGCACCTAAGGGGCTGGTCGATTATTCTGATTATTACCTGTGAGGGGGGGCGGCCAATTTGCTAGGGGACATTTTCAAAGTTAATTGGCTTTTGGGGGTTATTTTCAAATAAGGGAGCGTTATCTGTGGGGATCATTTTAATAACTCATAAGAAAAAGCTATAAAGCAATATCTTCTTTTTAAGAGAGCGACTGTTGATAATGTTTTTCCAGAAAGCTGAGACTACTGCGAGCGACTAGCTTGCGAGGTCGAACGGAGACGAATTTTCAGTTCAGAGTTTTTCCTCTCATTAAGATGAAATGCAATATATTGACGACTCATTCTATTGGGATCGACTCGTAGAAGTTGTTACCAAGTGCTTCGTTGCGCGATTATAAAACTCGAGTACTTAATAGTATACGTGTTTATGAGCCGTATCATACTTCTCTTCCCGGCCTGGAAGTTCCCTGAAGATCGAAACGATATGAGACGAAGATAGAGATGTTAGCAAAGCGTCCACTGCTTTAAGCCGCCTCAGAACATTTGGCAAACAATATAAAATCCGTGAGCTCCAAATCGAACATTACACATTCAGTTAGGAAAGACGTATCTTTTAGGGTGCTCTTTGATGTTCACAACGTTGTTCACACTGTAACCTTCGATCAGGCGCTCCTTCTTCCCTTTTTGTTTTGGAGGCCGTCAGCCGACTTTCGCACTTGAAACCATCCCCCACCCACCAAAAACAAACAAACATTCAAACAAACAAAAGCCTGATCGTAGGTTGTTCACACGTACCAACGAGCCAATGATCAAATGGATGGGCTCTTGTCACACCCTAAAAGGAACGTGATTCATTGCCAGGATCATTAGAAATATAGTGGGTCACCTTTGCTCTAGCTATATTGTTAAACTTTCCGATGAAGTATGTGTGATCGGAATAATTGAAATGCTAGTGAGTTATATGTGATACTCGTGTTGCTTCGTGCTGCTCAATAATAACATTATAAAAATGTTTAAAAATTTGCGTTTTTGTACGTGGGATGCTTACTAAAATTTAGCGTTTAGTATGACCTGAAACACATCTTATTTTAATCGGCAAATGTCAAATGTACTTGACAAAAAGCATCTATAATGCATGTGAATAACCAATTCGATTTTGACCCTAACTGTAATACTCAAACAGGACATTGTTTGGTGTTGTGTAACTGAGCTTGGAGCAGCGTATATAAGTAAACTTGTCAAGTAACAATAAATGCAGATGAATTTAGAGGAATAGTAATACTAAATTTACCGATGCACATCAACAATCATTGGTGAAAACTCGTATACAAAGCATAACATTTGTTATATTCATGACAGTAGAACGAGTCTGAAGGTAATAGTAGTAAACACTGATCTTTAACGCGACTTTAGATAAATTGTGTAGTGAACACGATTTTTAGCTGTATGTGATATTTGTTGTTTCTACAGCCCCTCTCCGAGGTAATAAACGATCGTCCGCTAATGAACAATCGCTTAGCGGAGTCCAAAGGGCGGTGAGCGGATAGATCAATGCTTAGAGCAAAGTTTAGGCTACAACAAATTTGAACAGTATGTAAATCTGACGAATAAAGGCGATTTAATTTTAATTACGTCCCGGCAAAGCCAATATACATTAAATGTGTCTCTTGCAGCTACTCCGAAAGGCTATTGTGACGTAATCAGTACATGCAGTCAGTTGAAACTGTAGCACAAAGACCCTGAGTCATTTAAGTACGCTGGTTTTATTTTTAGAGGGTTTCTTCGCGAATACTGTTAACAGCCACTGATCTATTAATTTTATTTACTCTCTCTTTTTGTTTGTCTTTTTTTTGTTTGTTTGTTTTTTGCTTTTTTGCCGAAAAATCTCTTCCTTTTGTCTACCGCTTCCACACCAACGGACGTTTGAGTGAGTGTCATAATTTTGCACGAAAGTACTAATAAGGAAAATTCTATTTTTACGTCTCCTATTGGAAACGGGACCGCCATTTTACGTGGTCATCCGAACCTCACAAGGATGTAGCCGTTTTCAAGACAATAGTGACTTCATTTCTCAGTTGTTTTAAGAGCCTGTATTGGTCCGTTCCCGGGCCGGGATATACGAAACTCACGACCTCCCGCTCTGCAGTCAACCGCTCTACCGACTGAGCTAGTCCTGTCACGGAATATTAATAAAACCACTCCGTCAAAGGAAATAAAAACAAAGCTTAATACGTAAAATTTGTGAGAGTGTATTATGGGAAGATACGGAAGTGGCGAGTTGAGTGGTAAGAGAACTCCAGCTGTGTTGCACTTACAGTGCTCAGGGCTCTATACTGTTTTTTGCCATTTCATTTCTCACATCTAATCTACAGTTTGCATTAAAAAGGGAGAACCTTCTGGAATGTAGACAAAAATGAATATCTCGCCGTGAGACGATAGGGTGTCACTTATAAAAAATAACTTGCCACTTAAATTTGAAAAACCTCTTGAATTTACGGAGCTATATATTCCAATAAGATTTGCGCCTTTGAAGATACGGAAATTACATTTTAATAAAAAAAATTGTCTGAGAAACTGCCGAGTCAAAATTCTGGAACGTTTATGTATTTTAGTACAATTCCCTCATCATAATATATTTGCTTTTCAAATGACGGCTTCTCTTGTCGTTTTGGTACATTGCCATCATTTTTTGTCCCTTCATTTCACGGCACTCAATCTACCATGGTAGAGCATCTACTTAACGTTTATCTTAAGAGACACTGGCAAAAGATCAATTGCTGTAGTAAATATGAACTAAGAGTTTAGAAACAAGCAAAATTTCTTAAGTTCATAATTTTTCTCGAGTTTTGCAAGAGATAGGCATAAAGGCGATAGTGCAATTTCATATTTCCTGAGGAAAATAGGCTCTTTAATTAAAACTCGGAGGCACTGGGTAAACATTCTTTAGTTTATTTAGATGTTCAACCCGGTTGGTTGCTTTTCGATAAATCCCTTATCAGTGAAAGATAATTGACTTTGCATACAGGCAGGTACCTGGAATAAATTGGCAACAGACAAAGAGGGCAAGTAAGGAAAAAAAACTTATTAAAATAACTAAAGGCTGAGGGAAATTTCCCAGCAAATACAGACTTGGCAGACTTAACCTATCGCGTAATGGGCTCGCGTACTTGCAATACCGGACACCAGAAACGCACATGTCAAATTAACGTTAACAACCTAGAACTCATTTTTGAAAAACCTAGATGAACAATCCTCACCTTTATCTTAGAGATTAACACTCTGATGCAGCGACTTGTTCGGATCAGAATACTGAGGGGTGTTATTTCACTTCACCTGGTAGACAGTTTGTTTTACAAATGATTGGCTTCAGGAAAATAATTTTAAATTCTTATCAACTTTCATTATATACGCATAGTCTCATTAATTAAAACAATTTTTTACGTTACCATGCCAACTGACATTTGACATTTTTTTACATCAAATGAGTCGGCAAATATTCCTTGACATCACACTTTTGTTGCTGTTCATTTTTAATTAATTCGCTTCTGGAGTTGAAGCTAAAATATATAAAGTTTTTATTACGTGAAGTCAAGTGAAATAAATCTCAAAGAAATCGCTGATCTTTCCAACGGCGTTCGGCTTTAACTATCTTTATTTTCCTATATTTCCTTTCCTTTTTTCGACTAGAGAAGAAAAGGGACTAAAACTTATCATCATTTAAAATCCTCACCTTAAAGCGCAAAAAGCCGGTCTTACCCTTGATAACTATTTGAGAAGCCATTGCACTATTCATAGCCAAGAGCCATCAATCACTGTCCGGGCGATAGCTACTTTTTAAAAAATTATCACGACGCCGAGGAGTTAACTTGTGAAGAGACTTTTCTATTATTTGTGAGTACATATTTAATAGCTTAAATATATAAGGTCGACTCCTAATAACTCGAACCTCCAGGGGAAATTGAAAAAAAGTTTGAGTTATCGGGAGCTCGAAGAATATAGCCGGGAGCAAGACAAAAAAAAGCTTTTCCTGTACAGTGAACATTTGTAATCACGTGACATCTAGAAATGTTGCGTGAAAATTGAAAGATACTTCTAGATTAAAAATCAACAAGTAACGTAGCAAAATACAGCCTAATTAGAGCATGTGTTTTACTGTTTTGAGATTGAAGTAAAGCTGTTCTCGTTAGTCACCAGTAAAAATATGCCAACCGGACGCCAATTAACTGTTATTTTTTCCCGACTTTTCTAGGGCTCAGAACATGTTTCGAGTTATCGGAGATTAAATTACATAGAAATGATCTGAGGGGAAAGAAAAATCACTTCGAGTTAGCGAGGGTTCGAGTTATCGGTAGTCGACTGCTGTATTACGATTTAGTCACGGCAATTGTTTGTTTGTTTGCTCTTTTCTTCGACAAAAGATTGCTAGCTTAAAGTTCGCAGTTTCTATAATGGCTGCCTGAACAGCTACTAGACATATAGAGAAGCCCGCGATAATTCAGAATGAAAGTAGAATGGTCGGTAGAATAAGTCGCGTATGAAACACTTACGCTGCGAGGCAGTTTAGATAATTGTGGAATTCTAATCAAATTCCTTGTTCTATTTCTAGTCTAACTGCGTTGTTTGTTTGTCATTAGGAAGAGACAAAAAGCAAATTCTGCTATACTTTTTTTCACGAATGTCCATGCAGTTGCCGCGAAGCAGCCGTGGATAAAATGATAAAATGTGGGCTTACTCAGAGTATAGGAGAACAAACAAGATCATGGTTTGTGAAAACAGATAAAACTCCTCTCAACAGACTGTGTGCGTATCAACTTTATATGGGTCATGCTTTTGAAAAACAAACAAGGCGACGAACTAATCACCCACACTGATTAATGACTACTATAAATGATACAATATATATCAACAAGAGCAGTGGAGGGTCTCAGAATGTGCCCGCGGTACGGAAACAGGAAATATGAGGTTTTTGGACAAAAAGAGGTTGCTATACCTAACATACCTTTTTGAAGAGAGGAACGTCATCAGGACTATAAACGGCAGATTTTCAGTACAGAAAGACATCATCAGCATCATCAACAATAACCAGGAAATAGATATTTTTTTATCTTCAACTCTTGCACAAGGTCCCAGTTGTTTAGAAGCTGGAAAGCGCTATCCATGGGATAAATCACCGCTACCAAGTGGATAAGTATTAGTGAAACTGACAACTGTAATTTCCACTGGATAGAGATTTATTCGGTGGCCCCGGGGAGGGGGGGTACTTCCTTATAAGGGCTTAATGGGGACGTGCGGCCAGCCAGGGTATGTTTTTCGGGATTTTTGTCTTAAACAGGGTATCGATTTTATCATTTCTTGTCTTAATCAGGGTATCGATTTATCAATTTTTGTCAAACAGGGTATCAAAAATCGGAATTCTGTCTTAAACAGGGTAGGAAAATCAGCGATATTTGTCTTAAACAGGATTAGGGTATGAGGGGCCGCGCCGCACCTCCCCACCCAGGGATATATCGAGTACTCCCCCCGGGTTCGGTGGCTAGCATTATCCCTGAGGCTTGTATTTTGAGGTCCGACTTGTTACGTATTCAACTGTGACATCAACAATACCACTTGAAATTTTTTTTTACCTCTGAACGGCGAAACGTAACTGTAACTCAGTATTAGCGTATATTTCATCAGGACTTACGTACCAGTCAAAAATGATCATCGAACTTTCTCCTATCGCAGATTTTATTCTAAATATATATCTTATAAAATGCAAGGAATATACATTTACTAGGCGACAGACAGAACAGGAACATAAATGGGAATGTGAATAACCGAAACGGTTTATTTATCTATGTATCTATCACTTGTAGCAAAAAAAAAACAGAAACAAAGAAAAAAAAGTAGAAAGTTAAGAAAAAGAAAGTTGGATATGCCATATGAAGTAAAGAGTGTATTAAAAATTTCATTAAATGTAAGTCGAAGAGAATAGCTCGTAGCCCTGAACATGAATAAAGTATAACAGGTTTTATAATTATCTGAAGTGCTGGGGATTAATTTTTATATCCATTGTGTTTGAATTTTAAACATAAAGTAATTCTTTAATGCTTAAGAATAGCAGAAGCTGCCTTAATAGCGTTTGAACATAACAAAACAAAGTTCAGACCTGCTTGGGTGAAGAACTCATCCATTGTTTAAAGTTCTCTGATAAGGCGACCGAATACTATGTTAAGGAGAAAGTCTGTAAAGATGTATTAAAAGTGATTCCTTGTTTATGCACTGGCGCACTACCTGTATAACTACTCCTATTTGTCGCAATTCTAATTTTCTTATTTCCCTTGGAACAATTATGAATTATTCTGTGCAAAACTTTCAAAGGAATTAGAAAATAATTGTTGTTTCTTATGTTTTTACGCCTGTAGGCTCAAAGAGACATGAATCTACAGAACGTTTCATGACAGATAATGCTTACGAACAGGAAGACATAAATCAATATTTATAAATATTAGCGTTTGGCTTTTGTCTCTTTCGTCCTTGATCCAATTGTGCGGGTCTCCTTTACGTAACTTTGACGCCCTCCTTTCGGGTCGTGCACGCAACGCAATATTAACTTGTCTTTATTTACGCAAAAGTTAATGAGGGGAATTAACCGTCGGTAAGATATTAGTTTTATTCTAGGTATTTGCTCAACCTAGGGTTAAGTGATGTCGGCCAGTAGAGTTCGCAGAAGCTTATTGACGACAAGGAATGCAAATTTTTTCTATTGGCTATGATATTTCAGACTTTCGTTTTTTTCCTAAGTTTGCGCGGTCTGTAAAACGCTAAGTTTGACTAGTGGACTAATATACTACTTCAACATGACTGATCAAAGTCCACCATCGTCATATTAACGATCCATTTCAATCTCTTTGTTAAGCAAAAGAGCTCAGGCACTCCCATAATAAACCGATATAGGTACGCTCTGATCATGACGGAATAGGGTACGGTTTGAGATACTCTCATTCCTTAAATAGAGCATCTTTTTTAACAAGTGGATATGCGTAGGAACTGTTATAATCAAATGACGTTCATTGACTAAAAGTACAGTAGAACAGGCTATAAAAACGTGTCAATTGTTTTGCCACATTACTGCAAAACGAGTTGAATAGCGATGTTGCGCGTTTTACCACCTATGTTTAAAGCTGCCTTGCAACAAATCAGGCTGTTGCAGGTTGTGAAAAGTTGTTGCAGAATGTAGAGAGAAGTTCTACTTTTGGCAACAAAATCTGTACCTATTGTGCGTTTTTTTCCGGCCCAAGACAAGAGAGAATTCTCTCTTGCCCAAGACAAACTTGTTTTGCAGCAAGTGACGTAGATCCCGTGAATGGCGTGACTCCCGCGTAATTTTATCCAATCAGAAGTCAGTATTCACTCAACTTGCAGCAACCTGGTTAGTTTTATAAGACAGGTTTGAACGAGCAATGTTGCAAATGCAAAACAAGTTGTACGTTTTTGGAGCCCGTTTTACCGTAGTTTAAGGAAAAAGCATGCTTGTAAGTCGCCCTCGAACGCGAGTGCGCGATTTAAAAATGCCGATGCAATTGTCGTAGATCGATTGTTCCCGAGGGGCCCTATGCCTGTGTGGAAAACGCATCCCTGGCATGTAACCTAACAAATACAACATCGAGTCTTTACAACTGTAAACACGTCAAGCGACAACTTCCCAATTGTCCATTGAAAACCACTTGCTTGCAAAACTAATCGTTCCGGCGATCACGTTTATTTATGCAGCGACTTCTTTTTTTTTTAATTGACACAAGTCTTCTACCGTGTATGATATAATTTTTCCTTGGACTCCAAAGGACTGATCACAGGCGGCCACAGGTACAGGGTTCAGTGACTATTGCAACCGGCAGGACTTTTCTACATGAGCCAGGGTTCCTAGTTTGCCAATTTGTCGAGATCTCGGTACCTGCGTTAAATGCAACAGAACTCGGCTTTGCTGGCGCTTATATGATGACAACCGATCAACCCATGCCAGCGCTCGGGAAATTGACAAAGCCAGTGACCCAGCCTCAAGGCTCTAACGGAATAACCATAAGGTAAAATTTAAAACTACCAGTTGTTTTGAATTTGTGCAAGTTTGTCACTCTTTAATTGAATGTTTACAAATTGAGAGTTTTGTGTACGTTTTCTCAAAGTTCTTATTAACAACGTGAATTCTATAGTTTACACTGTAATACTACCAACGAACCAAAAATATTAATTGCTACAATTACAACTCAAACGACACGCAAAAGTACCGACAGATGGATGTAGCAGAGAAAGTAATCTCGCTACACGCCACAATCTCGAAAGATTAGAGAAATATCTTAATACAACGAGAGAAGCTCAGCGCGTCTTCAGTAGCATAAAACACGAACTCAAACTCAGGCCTTACTTTTTAACTCGTGAATACACGAAGCGTGTTTGGCTATCGTTCTCTCTTTGACAGGTGGTGTTGACAAATATTAGAGTTTACTCAGTGTTTACTTTACAGTAGCCGAAGTGTTTGTTAGGTATATCCTTTCAACTTAAAGTATTTCCTTCTGCCTGTGTATCCGAACTCACAAAGTGACCAGCTCGAAGTTGGCTTGATAGGTTATTGGTAAGAGCACTGCGAAATAAAGTCTAGTAGAGTGCACAGAGCGGCAAAAATCAGTGCTATGAGTTTACTGTAGCGCGTAACCCCCCACTCCTTGGGTAGGAAACCTGATCTGCCGGATCAGTGAATGATGGCTAGAAAACTGCTCCCAGGAAGAGCACCAACAGCAAGACGACGTTGGATATTTTGAGAACAACGCCTGCTGCAGTTGGATCAGCCTGTTTCAAACCCTCGTCAAAGCTAGCTTTCAGTTTCCGGCTCCCAAGGTCGAGAACGGGGCGGTAATTGTCGACAATGTTCATGGTGCTGTTCATCTTCATGGAACGCAGAGCATCCAGCTATAAAGGGAAAAAGAACTGAGATCGGTTCGTGTCACAAAAAGTACATGTACTAAAATAGACCGACTCACCTGTTTTAAGGCTGGCACTGTGACACGAGAAGTTTTAATTCAGGGACATATTCCCAGGAAATGTTGACGTTTCATGGAACAATTCTCCCTTAGGGTGTGCGCATCCACTAAAATTCGTGGAAGCTCTGCCACAACACTCAAGATAGTTTTCTACAAAACGTTAAAGAGGCCCACCTAATACTTTTCATCTCAGTTTATTTCTAGTCACAATCATTGTCATCATTATGAATAATAACATTTTTCAAATTTTACCTGAGCCTGCGATATCTCGATAGGATCTTTGAAAACCGTCCAGGTGACAGCCTCACTGCAGGGCGGGGTTGTCAGGGAGCCTGGGTACCGGAAATACTTGGTCTTGTTGATTGGAAGGAGATTCATAAGCGGAAAGGCTGGAAAGTTCACGCTCTCACCTGTGTAGCGGAAGATGAACTGTGAAAACCTCTTTAACAATGATTTACAGTATGGATGTTTTTGTGATGATAAAACTGCAATTCCTGAAATACATGGAATTTAATTGATCCACAATCTATTATGTATCATCCATACCACATCTACATTTTTCCAACCAAGGCTCGTGTTTCATTCATTTTAACACAGCGTTAAACATCTATGGATGTTTTTTTCCTTGAAAGTTAAGAATACCATGCACACCTCACCTTTGTTAATCACAGAGCTGACATGATCCAAGAACAATTTATAGTGCCGATGTTCGCTTGAGCCAACCTAACATTTAGAAAGAAATAATAATAAAACAATGAAAAAAATTTGTTTCCTTGATTCGCTTTAAGCCTTCCGACATATCTTCTCCGGCTTAGTCTATACTACAAATGTTTATAAACAATTATTGGATGAGGTTTTTGTGATATCCGGAATAATTCGAGGTAAGTGTTATCAGCCGAAGCCGAAGGCTGAGGCTGATAACACTCTTTTGACCGAGACCTTGATCATTCCGGATATCACAAAAACCGAATCTAATAATTATTTTATTATACTTTATCTTCAAGTAATTTCTCAATTTCTTGCTGGGTCGATGAAGCGAATCGTGAAGCCATTCTTACTTCGCTGTCCGCGAACTTGACATTGCTGTCCGTGCACTTGACATTGCTCTTGGAAATCATGCATTGGGCGCGCAACCTACAGATTATTCACTAATCTGTTAGGTACAGATTAGTAAATAATCTGTAGGTTGCGCTGTTTCCCAGAATTAACTGTAGGCTTTTAGCCAATGAGAAGACAGATGGTGACTACAATGTATAATAAAACTATTTATTGGATGATGAAGCCGGACACTCCTGAAGAGGAATCATTTATAAACGATCGTATCATAAGATTTCATCCACGTCACGGACTTCTTGAAAGTTAGAACAACAATAAATGAATAGTGCTATGAGAGGTATTGCTAAAGGGTGGAGAAGGACAGTAAAATGGTCCGATTACGGGAGAATAGGGGGCATCGATCTCAAAAGCTAGAGCTTACGAAATAAATCATATCATGTGAAAGCACTGCCTTGGAGGTTCCACTTGATGATTGGTCGTGCTCATAAGACGTCACTGATTCACAGACAAAAACGTTAGGTGTACAGGAACATTACGACACGTCACTTAAAAAGGAATCTGGGAGTGGATGGGTTTTATGAAGAGGCAAACGTCAAAAATTTTGGTGACGTCATCATATATCCAGTTCTGGTTGTGGCCCGGACTGAACATGTGTTACCTTAAGAAAAACACCCAGCACGGCCAAACCATCTGAATGACCTAGGGAATCACCGAGGCTGGAGTATTTGGTGTTCATGCTGACAAAATGGATCTGCAAGTTCAATTGAAAAATGTATTTTAGGCCATTATGTCACCATCATTTTGATTCCCCCGGCCCTTTGCTTGACTTGACTCAAGGCACCTTTCCTCATTGCATTGGCGACGAAACAGTCAACACTTAATATTTTGTAGCACACAAGTAAAAGCTAAACAGTAAATTTTATAGTAAACTGCAAAATTTTGGGAAAATCACATCACACAGGACATGATCTTGTCCCCACGGCTTCTTCATAGTAAATGGGAGGATTTTCTAAGGGGAATGCCCTAGGGAAAAGGTTGTTGTACACAGTACATGTCATCGAGGTAACACACCTCGGCAGGATACATCAGCCCGTCCATAGTGTGTTCCGATCCTTTGTTGTTGTTTGATCCCCAGTGCAGGTGAAACTGAACGGTGGTAAAAACTCCGGGGAGGCCACCTCCGCTTACGTTGTATATATGGCTGTCCATTGCCACCTTCAAAGATTTACCACTGTTTTTGGCGGTAAAATTAACACCAGCTGGTGTATTGGCGTAGTTGACAAGGGTAAAATTACCCAGGCTTGAGTCATACGTGGCGGCGGTGTTGCTAATGTCTATAGGCGACTGTTGGCTCCCGGAGCAACTGTCACCCCACTTTTTAGGTCCTAGAGAAGAGTTAGAAGGACAATATCATGTAAGATGACTTTTTCGTGCAAGTAGGGTGCGAAAGTTGGAGTGGGATTGATTTTTCTCTGGTCCTTTATATAGGGTTCTTTCAAGGCTTGGTTTAGACTTGGAAAGATTTTTCCGGATTCATAAATGCTTCCGGATTTACTACGTTTGCACAAATCAGTAAATCCAGGATCTTTCATTCGGATGCAAAGTATTCCGCGATCAAAATCCTCAAAGATAAGACCGGCCAAACCGTGCCAGCTCGAGCCATTTTCATTTAGGATCGATAACACGTCTGCACGTAAACGGAAAAACGAAACCATCGCTTAAATGTTTCAGATTCACCACGAATCCGAAAACGTCTGCTGTCAGCCGCATTAGCCGATACTGCAGAAAAGGAGAAACATACCATCAGCAGCATTTCGATCATAGCTCCATTCTAGAAAAACAATTAAAATTACAGTTAATGTTTGAGTGAAAATTAATACCAAGTTAACCTAGTAATCTCGCTACACGCCACAATCTCGAAAGATTAGAGAAATATCTTAATACAACGAGAGAAGCTCAGCGCGTCTTCAGTAGCATAAAACACGAACTCAAACTCAGGCCTTACTTTTTAACTCGTGAATACGCGAAGCTAAAGCCTGTTTTGCTATCGTTCTCTCTTTGACAGGTGGTGTTGACAAATATTAGAGTTTACTTTACAGTAGCCGAAGTGTTTGTTAGGTATATCGTTTCAACTTAAAGTATTTCCTTCTGCCTGTGTATCCGAACTCACAAAGTGACCAGCTCGAAGTTGGCTTGATAGGTTATTGGTAAGAGCACTGCGAAATAAAGTCTAGTAGAGTGCACAGAGCTGCAAAAATCAGTGCTATGAGTTTACAGTAGCGCGTAACCCCCCACTCCTTGGGTAGGAAACCTGATCTGCCGGATCAGTGAATGATGGCTAGAAAACTGCTCCCAGGAAGAGCACCAACAGCAAGACGACGTTTGATATTTTGAGAACAACGCCTGCTGCAGTTGGATCAACCTGTTTCAAACCCTCGTCAAAGCTGGCTTTCAGTTTCCGGCTCCCAAGGTCGAGAACGGGGCGGTAATTGTCGACAATGTTCATGGTGCTGTTCATCTTCATGGAACGCAGAGCATCTAGCTATAAAGGGAAAAAGAACTGAGATCGGTTCGTGTCACGAAAAGTACATGTACTAAAATAGACCGACTCACCTGTTTTAAGGCTGGCACTGTGACACGAGAAGTTTTAATTCAGGGACATATTCCCAGGAAATGTTGGCGTTTCATGGAACAATTCTCCCTTAGGGTGTGCGCATCCACTAAAATTCGTGGAAGCTCTGCCACAACACTCAAGATAGTTTTCTACAAATCGTTAAAGAGGCCCACCCAATACTTTTCATCTCAGTTAATTTCTAGTCACAATCATTGTCATCATTATAAATAATAACATTTTTCAAATTTTACCTGAGCCTGCGATATCTCGATAGGATCTTTGAAAACAGTCCAGGTGACAGCCTCACTGCAGGGCGGGGTTGTCAGGGAGCCTGGGTACCGGAAATACTTGGTCTTGTCGGCTGGAAGGAGATTCATAAGCGGAAAGGCTGGAAAGCTCACGCTCTCACCTATGTAGCGGAAGATGAACTGTGAAAACCTCTTCAACAATGTGCATTAAGACACATGATTTACAGTATGGATGTTTTTGTGATGATAAAACTGCAATTCCAACCACAAAGGATAAAGAAAGGCTCGACACTAAGTGTTCTTGAGTTTGAGAAGCTCTCTCTGAAAAGCGAATCCCTGCTACATAGTATTGTTTCAACTACCCGTCCATCAGAAAAAACAGCGAGGACACATGCTTGAAATACATGGAATTTAATTCATCCACAATCTATTATCTATCATCCATACCACATCTGCATTTTTTTCCAACCAAGGCTCGTGTTTCATTCATTTTAACACAGCATTAAACATGTATGGATGTTTTTTTTTTCCTTGAAAGTTAAGAATACCATGCACACCTTACCTTTGTTAATCACAGAGCTGATATGATCCAAGAACAATTTATAGTGCTGATGTTCGCTTGAGCCAACCTAACATTTAGAAAGAAATAATAATAAAACAACGAAAAATTTGTTTCCTTGATTCGCTTTAAGCCTTCCGACATGTCTACTTCTTAGTCTATACTACAAATGTTTGAACTATTTATGAAGGCGGATACTCCTGAAGAGGAATCATTTATACGTATCAGGGGGTAAGATTTCATCCACGGACTTCCTGAAAGTTAGAAGAACACACTAAATGAATAGTACTATGGAAGTAATTGCTAAAGAGTGGAGAAGGACAGTAAAATGGTCCGATTACGGGAGAATAGGGGTCATCGATCTCAAAAGCTAGAGCAACGTACGAAATAAATCATATCATGTGAAGGCACTGGCTTGTTGGTTCCACTTGATGATTGGTCGCGCTCATAAGACGTCACTGATTCACAGACAAAAAAGGTTAGGTGAACAGGAACATTACGACGCGTCCCTTAAAAAGGAATCTGGGAGTGGATGGGTTTTATGAAGAGGGAAACATCTTTACCTTAAGAAAAACACCCAGCACGGCCAAACCATCTGAATGACCTAGGGAATCACCGAGGCTGGAGTATTTGGTGTTCATGCTGACAAAATGGATCTGCAAGTTCAATTGAAAAATGTATTTTAGGCCATTATGTCACCATCATTTTGATTCCCCCGGCCCTTTGCTTGACTTGACTCAAGGCACCTTTCCTCATTGCATTGGCGACGAAACAGTCAACACTTAATATTTTGTAGCACACAAGTAAAAGCTAAACAGTAAATTTTATAGTAAACTGCAAAATTTTGGGAAAATCACATCACACAGGACATGATCTTGTCCCCACGGCTTCTTCATAGTAAATGGGAGGATTTTCTAAGGGGAATGCCCTAGGGAAAAGGTTGTTGTACACAGTACATGTCATCGAGGTAACACACCTCGGCAGGATACATCAGCCCGTCCATAGTGTGTTCCGATCCTTTGTTGTTGTTTGATCCCCAGTGCAGGTGAAACTGAACGGTGGTAAAAACTCCGGGGAGGCCACCTCCGCTTACGTTGTATATATGGCTGTCCATTGCCACCTTCAAAGATTTACCACTGTTTTTGGCGGTAAAATTAACACCAGCTGGTGTATTGGCGTAGTTGACAAGGGTAAAATTACCCAGGCTTGAGTCATACGTGGCGGCGGTGTTGCTAATGTCTATAGGCGACTGTTGGCTCCCGGAGCAACTGTCACCCCACTTTTTAGGTCCTAGAGAAGAGTTAGAAGGACAATATCATGTAAGATGACTTTTTCGTGCAAGTAGGGTGCGAAAGTTGGAGTGGGATTGATTTTTCTCTGGTCCTTTATATAGGGTTCTTTCAAGGCTTGGTTTAGACTTGGAAAGATTTTTCCGGATTCATAAATGCTTCCGGATTTACTACGTTTGCACAAATCAGTAAATCCAGGATCTTTCATTCGGATGCAAAGTATTCCGCGATCAAAATCCTCAAAGATAAGACCGGCCAAACCGTGCCAGCTCGAGCCATTTTCATTTAGGATCGATAACACGTCTGCACGTAAACGGAAAAACGAAACCATCGCTTAAATGTTTCAGATTCACCACGAATCCGAAAACGTCTGCTGTCAGCCGCATTAGCCGATACTGCAGAAAAGGAGAAACATACCATCAGCAGCATTTCGATCATAGCTCCATTCTAGAAAAACAATTAAAATTACAGTTAATGTTTGAGTGAAAATTAATACCAAGTTAACCTGAAGCAACAGTAAAACGGGCAACAAAAAACGTGCAACTTGTTTTCCAACATTGCTGCAAAACGAGTTGAATAGCGGCGATGCGTGTTTTACCACCCACGTTCAAATCTGTCCTGTAAGAGATAAGGTTGCCAGGTATTTTTTTTCGTGGGTGGTAATGAATAGAGATCGATGTTGCGCGTATTACCACCAACTCGTTTTGCAACCTTATTGCAAAACAAATTGCGCGTTTATTGTTGCCCGTTTACCGTACCTTAAATAGCTTTATTATTCATTCAAAATATTTCCCCAATTCTGATTGGCTAAAAGCACAAGCATAATTCACCATAACCAGTTACTGGTGACCAAATTTGGAAGAATTCTGTGTTTAACGAGGAAATGACGTCAAAAATGCAGTTCGCTACAGGTTAAGGCACCGTTACCGAGAAGACCTGGGGACGAGGTTGAGTTGTTTTGGTTGTGAAAAAAAAATGGCGGATATTTCACTCGTTTCAGGAGTAAGAACTGCAGCTGGAACTAGGCGAAATTATAGCTGAAAACATGGAAAAAACAGCAAGAAGACAACTCTGAGGGCGACATCTGCTATTTGGAGAATATTTGTGGAGCTGGACAAACCTAAACGTACCTATCGAAAATGAACTTAACATCGATGCAGGTAAGCATGTTTTAGCTATTTTTTTTAAATTAGGAATTATTTGAAAGAATAATAAAGCAATTAATGAATTCTGCTTTCGTAGGATATGACTCAAGAATTAAGCAGATCCTACTCAGCCTCATTCATTAATTGCTAATTAACCGTAACGCGACCGAGGAAATGAACAAATATTTGTCAGCTGTCAAGTTAAATACTTAAATTTGTTCATTGTTTGATAAGAACAAACCTATTCAACTTACTTATTTTTATAAACTTGACGTTTCGTATGCTACTCAACATACATTTTCCAAAGTACCAATACCATTTTGAAAACTATACTTATATAATAGTGAAAAGGGACTGAATATGGTTATCACCGCTGTTTGTATTCTATTTCTTATCAAACTACGATGACCCAAGAACAAAAGTTCATTGTTTTATTTTTCGTCGCCTATAAGCTGGTTTTGTGAATTCCTCTTAAGTGAGTCTGATTCATAAGCAACGAAGGTGAGAATAGCAGTATGTTGTATGGATTGATGGGCTTTCAATGTTTTCCTATACTTGCGCTATATAAACTGAAATTTAGGAATCTTTTAGGGGAATGCAGTTTAGTATTAGGTGCCCTCCAAACTGTTAAGTTGATTTATATTCCTATTTCATCTGCTGTCCCAGCGTGAAACAAAAGTTTTATTGGAAAAATACTACAAAAGAGCCTCCGTTTTTTCCACTTTATATTCAGCAGTCATGAGATAAGTCAGTTGATTCAGTTTTATTGATAGTTTCCCTGACAAGCCAAGACAATCACGTGACAAAATCTCCAGCTCCCATCTCACTATTCTTGGTTTGCAACCACGTGACAAGGCAGTCATGTTGGGGGTCAAAACAATAGAATTTTTTCTCAAAGAATTTAAATGAAAATTAGAGTTTAGTTCCCAGAGGAGAGAAATGCTTTTGTTCTTGACCACCAACATGGCCGCCGTGACGTCATGTGCAAACCAGCGATTGGCTGGGTCTCGCGACATCAGGTCCCACCAAAGCTATACGACAGCGGATAAAGTACTTTACGTCATACCCTCTCATAGTTTAAACGTCATGTAGTACGCAAGAACTGCACAATAAATTTTTCTCTTCACGTCGACGGTGAGCCATTTGAAAAACAAAGGCAGTACCATCCTCTAAATGATTTTAAGCCCCCAGCCCCTCTCTGGTTAGCCTCTGAGCACGGATCAGGGCCTGGGAATTGAACCCGCAGTAATTAACCCGACCCCGCTCTGCAAACCTTTAGCCCCTTTCTCCCCTGACCCCTCTCATATTCCAAGAAAAAATCCGCCGGGACGAAGTTTACAACAGTTTAATACCGCTGCGCTGGATCAAGAAATATTGCATGTTTTTTTGCTTTAGAGCTCTTGCGCGCACTCACTTACCTGCCAAGGCAATGGAAACTCCAGCAATTAAGCATACAAACGTCAAGAAAATTCTACCCATGATTGTAGGCAATAATTCTCCTGAAAAAAGGAAAAGGAGGCGTGAAGACATGGGAAAGTTGTGTGATAGCTTAACAGTGCGTTTTATTTCAAACTGCTGCATATAGAATTGCAGAATGGGTGAATAAATGCCTAGAAAGTAATCCAGGCAAGAACATTAGTTTGACACGTAAAACTGTCGAATAAAAGCAAAGTGTTTCTTATTAAAACCCACCGAGGATAATACACAAAAAATTATAAATGCGGTTAAACGGAAAGGCTTTCCAGTGTTACGTAATCAGAGTAAATGCACAGTCAGTGAAACTGTAGTAAGAGGGCCTTGAATCAGTCTTGTATTAAAAACCGCTGGTTCGGCTATTCTTAAGGGTTTTCAACACCTCCCCGCTAATGCTGTAAGTAAGCAACCACGTGACTATTCAATTTTTTTATGCTCAGTGCCCTCGGTGTTTGTTTTTTTATCCGAAAATTTATCTTTCTTTATCCGCTGCATCTATTCCATCGTCTAATAATACAAATGCAAATTATAGGAACCAAATTCAAGGTTGTGATATTAAGATGGGAAATTCAAACAACTTGCGAGTAAGGTCCGCATGACAGGCACACATAAAGAAGAAATAATCTGGAACATCTTGTACAGATGGAAAAAAACAACAAAGAGATAGCGCGGAAGCTTAAGAATAATTTTTCTTAGAGTTGTTAATGATGTTGTTTTCTCAGCAGACAAAATCGCTTGCATTGGAACCATAGAATTCCAAACAAAAAAAATATCCTGCTAGATTCTTTGTTCATTTAAGAACATAGTATGGACGACTGCGCAAAAATACTGGAGATTTATTTCTGATTAAAACAAGGCATGGCCAATATACACGGAATGTGTCTCTTTACGGCTACTCCGCCGAAAAGCTGTTGAACATTACGTAATCAGTACATGCACTGAGTCAGTTGAAAATGCTGAAGATGTCAGTAGTACGAAGACCCTGAGTCAGTCAGTCTTATTACAATGCTGGTTCTATGTTCAGATCAATCACCAAAAGGACTTTCTGCTAGTACGATATACAGCCATATAACTTAAACTATCTATATAACTTTATTGTTTTTTATTCAAATAGATATCTTTCTTTATCAGCTGCCGCATCCACTCCATCGTCCCATAATACACGAGTGCAATCTCTCTTGACAAGTGTTAGTACCGACCAACAGAAATTTTCTATATGCAAAGTGTGGCGGGAAAGGGTATGTTGGAGGAGTGTCGAGGGAGAGTCTAAGTGGTTAGAAAAACCAACCGGCCTCGTTGTTCCGAGAACTGAAACGGTTAGCCATGTCTCTGCTATATGCGGCGTCATTTCTCGTCGCATTGAGTCTTACACTTTGCCAGTTGAAAATGAAATAAAAGCTTGTTTGCCATCTACCTAAATGAATTTTTGAATGACTTGAAATCGATTTGCATTACAATAATGTCTACTGAAACCCATCGTGCATACAAAGATATCACTTAATGGGACATGCAAATGTTAGTTACTAAATTTGCAAGGTTGTGATAGTTAGGTGGAAAATTCGAACTACTTGCTAGCATTGTCTTCTGCATGACAGGCACACATGAAAAAGAAATAATTTCGAACATCTTTTGACAGATAAAACAACAACAAAGAGATCGCACGAAAGTTTAAGAATAATTTTTCTTAGAGTTATTAATGATGTTGTTGTTTCTTTTTTAACCGACAAAATCGCTTAAATTCGAGCCATAGAATTCTAGAATTCTAGAATATTCTGCTTGTTGCATTTGGAACTGAACAATAGATTCTTTGATCATTTATTATGAGTACATAGTATGGACGACTGCGGAAAAACACTAGATGGATAAAAGCGATTTATTTCTGATTAAAACAAGGCATGACCAATATACACGGAATCTGTCTCTTTGCGGCTGTTGTTACGTAATCCGGTACATGCAGTCAGTTGAAAATGTAGCACGAAGGCCTCGAGTCAGTCTTATCATAACGCTGGTTCTAGTGATTCAGGCTATCAAAAGGCCTTTCTGCTAATACGATAAACAGCCACATAACTGTTTAATTTACTTACGCTCTGTGTTTGTTTGTTTTTTTTTTTCTAAGTTTTTATCTGAAGAAATACCTTCCCTTATCAACCACATCCACTCTATCGTTTCAATACTAACACCAACAGAATTTCGGTTTTAATATGCAAAGTGTGGCGGGGAAGGGGAGTGTCGGGGGAGTGTCGAGGGCGAGTTCGAATAGTTAGAGAACTTAACCTGCTTCGTTGTTTCGAGATTTGAAACGGCTAGCTATGTCTCTACAATATACGTAATTTCTCGCATTCAGTCTTACACTTTGCATTTAAAATAAAATAAAAGTTTGTTTGTCTTCTACCTATACT